AGTGAAAACAATGCTCTGGTCCCGTCAAAGAGCCAGTGGAGCCCAGTCCCCTGCCAAATCCAGAGGCTTTGAAACAGGAATTGCAGGAACAAACTTTTTTTCCCCCAAGCACTTGAGAGATGGTGTCAAGGTTGGTGGCGTCTCCTGGGTGAGTCCCCCAGGACAGCTGCTCTGCCGCCCTTCCCCATTGCATGCAACATTCACAAAGAAAAACTCTCTCTGCTTTTCAGAAGAGGGTTTGTTGTGCAGGTAGCTTTTCAGCATCTCTTCATCACTGGCTGCTTCTCTGCTCCTAAGTTCTCCCAGGTGTAACCAGAGCAGGGCCGGTCGTTTTTGTAGCCACCATATGCAGGCAGGTTCTTAGGTTGCAGCTGGCCAACTTGGGGCATCAAAGTTTGAAGTGGGCAGAAAAAATAGAGGTGTTGGATGGCAAAACTAGCACCGTGACTTCTGCAGAGTGAGGGACCAGCCCTTGCACTGCTCACATGGAGTTAAACCCTCTTGGGTGGGTTCGAGTAACCCTTAACTCAAGCACAACCCTCGAACCATCACTACCCAGAAATGGAGCTGACCTTGCTGTACGTGTTCCGACACACACCTTCCAGAGAAAGGGGGAGAGAAAGAAAGAGGGAAAAAAATTCAGGGAGAAGCTCGAGCCCCCCACGTCCCCAAATCAAAGGCGAGCCGAGCTGAAAGCTCCGTGTCTGCGCCTGCCCGTGCCGCTCACCGAGAGCCTCTTGCAGCCCAGAGCAGCCGAGGCACCGCAGCCCCGCGCCTGCCTTCGCCAAACGGACTCTGATCTTCTAGGGCAAAAGGGGGCAAAAACGCCCAGCCCATACTCCTAGCCCACAAACCGGCAACCTCAAGGGTGATTGCTAAAAAGAACTCGATCTCCCTGCTGTCTGAGACGAGGGGCGAGCAGCTAATTATCAAATGCCATCACGGGGCCGAGTACTGTAAGGGCCACGTGACGGAGGGTCGGTCTGAGATGGGTCTCCAGGCTGGCACGCAGGGCGACGTTTCACGAGCGCATTGCTGAGGGGTTACGTAATTGGTAGGGCTCCCCTTTGCCTTTAAAAGAGGATGCACACTGGGATTGAATTCCCAGGGGGTAATTAACACAGCTGCAATCCTTCAGTGGGGAGGGGAAAAAGGGAAACCTAATAATTTTAGTGTAAGCTAAGAGGTACAGTATTTTATTCCTATAATTGGTGGGAAAACGGGAGAAAAAGGAAAGCACTGCACAGTTATGAAAACTTGAAAGGGTATTTTTCTTTATTGAATTGAATTATTTACATTTGTCATAGAAAAGCCACTATAAACCAGTGTAGCGCAGAATACCTTTCCATATTATATAGAGCTGTTAAAGGGAAATGTTTCAGCACTATTTAAATATTATCTAATTTCCTATAAAAACCGGACACAATCAATGCAGCCTCGGGACGAGATTATATTTCACTGGGCGGCAGTTTTTAAAGGAGAGCTGGTCCAGCAGCAGCAGCTCAGATGGCTCAGCTCATGCAAAAGTTTTTTTCGGAAGGGGGGGGTGCGAAGCGTGACTCCCCGGCCCCTCCCGGCCCAGAGCCCTGCGTCGTGGCGGGCGTTAGTGCCGCGGTCTGACCCCCTCGCTCAGCCACCGGCCGCATAACTGGGCAGCGCTGTCACATGGAGCCGGGGCGGGGGGCGCCGGCTCGGTCACCCAGCTGCAGGCACAGCATCCCCACCCCACGGCCGCGGGGTGCTGGGTGGGATACAGCCCTCACAGGGAGCTCCGCCACTCAGCCAGCTCATTTTAATTATTTTAGGGGGTATAAGGAGGTGCAAGCTTTAAATCAGTCACGCATTGCAATCCGCGCTTGAGAGCAGCTGGAGGAGGCAGTGCCACGGGCTGCCAGCCCGCGGGCTCCTTCGCCACGCTGGAAGTTTCCCGGGAAAACAAAAAAATAAGGGACTTCCCACCCCGCTGCCGGAGGACAGCTGTAAATCACAGCAGCGATGCCAGGAGCTCTCGGCACCGGCACATCTGGACTCGCCGGGTTTTTAAAGGCAGCCTCATGGATTTTTTTGAACTGGCAGGGCAAGTTATTATGGGCTGAAATCTCCCCGGTGCAAGGACTAAGTTGTTATGCGTCAGCTTAACTTGGGGAACAGGCTGAAGTAATTTCGCTTCTGTGTATCGTGTTCTTTTATGTGCCAGGAACGAGTTTTCCTCATAATGTGAAGCCGGCACAGACAATTTAAGTCATTATTAATAGATACACTTGATCTGAGGAAGTAAAATGCTTAATGTTTTGTTAAATGAGGTGTACTCTGCAAACAGTTGTATGCAGGGAGAAGGTTAAGATGCTATCCCCATGTTAGAGATTAATGAGTGCTAGGCTACTGCTAATGAAGTGCTCATCCTTGCCAACGTTTGGGGCCCGAGTGTGTGTAGGAACACCTCTACTGAGGTAAGGACGCACAAGGATGATCCCAGGCGTTATTGGGTGCAGGATCAGACCCTCAGGTCCTCGAGGCGCGGGGACCAGGATGCTGGCAGGAGAGGTGATGTGCCCAAGGCCGTGCAGCACGGCAGTGGCAGAGCAGAAGGTAGGGCTGTGGGGTCCCAACCTTCCTCTGCGGCCCAAAATCGCTGCCTAAAGGTGGCGGAGAGTTTATAAGCTGATGAAACCCCCAGTTTTCCTTCAAAACCCAACTGGGGACTTCTCCCCCTCTCCTGGCCAGCCCAGGACAGTCCGCAGGTGTCCTGGCTGCCAGCTCCTCCCTGCAGTAAATCACTCCTGCCTGTACAACAGCATTCCCCTTAAAAACAGGGGAATATCATTTCATCCTGACACTGCCTTGCACTCATCGGTGGAGAAAGCACTTGGCTTGGCTGGCAGGAGCTCAGGCTCGTGTGTCTGTATGTGCCACTCAGCTACAAGAGGACTTTTTCTTTCTACCCTTGCTGGCCCGGGCTATTTTTAACCACTCCCCATCAGTGACACTGTTAATCCTGTCATTACCATGACCCATGAAGTGAGTGTTATATGCAAATGGATGCTGATTAAAAGGCCCATGATAAGGGGTCACAGGGTATTTCAACACACTCTCAATGGCAGTTTAAGGCCACACACACCCCCCACACACACACACCTCTTGCAAAATGAGCCCACGTCTGACAGAGGAGGTCTAGACTCCCTGCTAAATATACCCGGCTGCCAGCGCCGGAGGTGGCCTGTGCCACGGGAAGGCGATCCCCTCGGTGTGAGCGTGGGCACGTGAAGGCAGGCTTCCTCCACGCCGCCACAAAAATATTACAGGGCTGTTAATGCGCAGAGAGGGAAAGTGAGCCAGGGCTGCGGAAACACGACCCAGAACAAGTCCCTGGGGAAAACGATCCCAGCCTCTGCTCCCTGGGTCTCCAGGCTTTCTCCTGCTCCAGCTAACGGACCCCAGGGTATAACGAGGTTATTTTTCATACTAAAGCAATGCTTTGAGGGGGTAGCTAATGCCCGAAGGGCGAACAGGCACAGAAAAGCTGGAGGTAGCAGAATAGCAACAAGTGGCAAAAGGAGAGGAACAATGGGATTTGGGGGTCACAAACCGATCGAGAAGATGTGGACAGACAGGCAGGTGGGAAGGCCAGCCTTGAGTTTGGGGGGAGGAAGAAAACGGGAGAGACCACGTAGTCTGGCCTCAAATTACCTCCCACTGCAGTTACTAGCGAACAGGGATCTCAAGGCAGGGGGTTCCTTACACAGAGGATTAATTCATACAAGGACCCCAACTCAGAACCCCCTGGCTCAGTGTGAGCCCATCCTGGATGGAAACACTATGATTTTCTTTTTGTTGCTCTGTGCTCTTCACATGGTGTCTGTGGCCAGGTGGCTGGATGCCACTACAGCCCTGCTGAGGAGACCCACAAAAAAGCCTCTTGCAGAGCAGATGGGTTGGCACAAGGATGCTCATGGTCAAGGATGCTGCACGAGCCCAGCAAAGTCCCCGCTTGCAGGGGGCTACAGAGAAGGTCCCAAACATTTCTTCCAGCCCCGGGTTGACTGCATACAGAAGGAACCACAAAGCATTTCAGCAGTCCCTCAACGTCTGGTTGCTTTGATATGGTTTAACCTCTTCTTGAGATCAGCTTGGATCATGTTTATTGCATGGGGAGGTGGGACAGGAGGGCTGGCGGGGGGTTGTATCACCCAGAGCCTCCGAGTCACGAGATGCCAAGGTCTATTCTTGTCCCTGCCGCGGACTTCTCCTGTGACCTTGAGGAAAGGAGCCATGAGCCTCGGGGCAGCAGGAGCTGGGGACTCTCTGCTGGCGTCCATCTCAGTGCTTAAACGGCAGCAGTGGCTGGGAGCTTCCCCTCTCCTATACAAGGCGTCGGCGGGGAGAGCGGCTCACCCTACCAAAGCCCCAGGAGGATTTGTACCTCGCTGGCCTTTGCCAAGTGCTTTGCATCTCTGCAGGGACGCACCAGAATGCCAGCCTGCGCTGCGGTGTAACGCCCAGATTTTTCCATATAGCTACCATGACACTGGAAACAGGTACAAGTGCCTTAAGGAAAAAAAAAATACAGTGTTAGTCAGAGGAAAAAAAAGCTGCCTTCTTAGAGCTCAGGTTGTATGGGGTTGGGCAGACAGGAGCTGGCTAAATTTGTTCATTTTTTTGTTTTTGTTTTTTTTTGTTTTTTTGTTTTTTGTTTTTTTGTTTTTACCCCCTAAACACTAGGCACCGTTATCCTCCCAGCCTGAACACCAGTGTCCCAAGCTGCTGCCTGCAATTAAACCGGCTACTTAATCCAAGAGGTGCTGCCGCAACACAGCCCAGTGACTGATTGACCCTCATTGTATCGTGTGCCTGTTATCATCTGACCCCGCTGGAGTTAAAAATACAGCAACAATAGAGCCTTAACTGGATTATAATTAGACAATGAGCCCAGGAGGACTGAAACAATGAACTATAAAAGCCTGTCTATCCTCCCAGGACCCACACACACGGGAAACACAGGAATGGGCGAGTTACCAGGACCTGTAACAGAAAAGGTACAGATTTCCCCCAAACTGGATTTGGAACATCCTCTAACGGCTCACACTCCCGCCACCAAGTATTACACAGCCCTGATCATGGGAGACCTGAGAAGCCTCGAGGTCCTGACTGACCGATACTATCAAGATGTCAACCTGGTTTTTGAGATCAGTAAAAATGAGCTGGAGTGGCAGGCAAAAAGCCAAGCGACTTATGGACTCTCAGGTACTTTTCCTTTAAAGGCCAGCCCAGAAAAATTTTTAAAATCCAGGTATTTACTAACCCTAAATAGGAGAGGTGCATTTAAGTACCTAACGCTGCTTTTATAGACCCTGTTCCTGAGGCGGCTGGTTTCTGGTTAGCTGACTGCCCTGCAGCCTAGCCATAGATATTTAGCACTTCGTTGTATTATTTTCTTCTCTTCTGCACGTACTAACCCACCGGAGGGGCAGGGAAGTGTGAAAAGTGTGTGTCCACACGATTTTTTCCATGTTAGGCTGGGACACTCTGTGGCTTAGGCATGCTTGCAAGAAGTCTCGCAGCCCAAATTCCCCTTTCAGGGGCTCAGACAGAGCAGCCTGGTCCTATCCAGGAGGAAGAAGATGCTCCCAGGGTAGTGGGACCTGGTACCTCCCAACCGCAGATGCCCCCCTTGGTCGCAGATGCTCACTGGGCATCTACTGATGGTCCCAGAGGTCCCGGAGCTGCCAAGAAATGCAATGCCTAGCTCCAGCTGAACCCAAACCCAACCCTCTTGCCAACAGTGCTTGGCACAGCCACCAGCTGTAACCAGGCTCTTTGAAACACCGGAAGTCAACAGGGAGATAGCAGGAGAATGGAAAAAGCAGTGTCGATGTGGTTTATTCGCAAAGCTGGCGCACAGGGGACAGGAACGTCCCCAGCGGGTCAGCGCCGGGCATCAGCCCTGCTCCATCCTCCCCGCAGGGCTGTGGTCGCTGGAGTACAAGCGGGAGCTGACCACCCCGCTGTGCCTGGCCGCTCGACTGGGTCACACCGCCTGCCTCCGCCACCTCCTCCGACGAGGGCCTGGCCCCGCTGCACCTCTGCACCACCCAAGACTCCCTGGGGTAAGGAGAGGGTCCCCCAGCACCATCCCCCCGCTGATAGCTTCACGTCGCATCCCCTGCATGCAGGTCCCAGCACTTTTGCCTCTGTGGGGTGCAAAAAAGATGTCAGGATATCCACCAAGTCTTCCCGCATGCTACCACATCTCTGGGCTGCATTGGCTGCTGAAGAACACCCAGCATAGCCATAAAGAGACATTTCAGCACCAGGCACATTCATAGAGCCATAGAATCATTGAGGTTGGAAAAGAACGATCATTAAGTCCGACCATCAGCCCAACACCACCATGCCTACTAAACCATGTCCCAAAGTGCCACATCTACACGTTTTTTGAGCACCTCCAGGTATGGTGACTCCACCACCTCCCTGGGCAGCCTATTCCAATGCCTGATCACTCTTTCAGTAAAGAAATTTTTCCTAATATCCAGTCTAACTGCATGGCCCAGGCCTCCTTCCCATGGACAGGAGCAGCCCAGCCAAGCTCCACACACTTTTCTTTCCTCCTCTTTTTGGCACCCTTTCCCCCAGGAGGTGCTCAGGAGGAGCCCAGACATGGGGCACATAGGTCACCCCAACCTCCTGTGCTCCTCAGACCATGCTGACTCCATCCACAAGGGATGTCGGTGCCCATAAGGGCACACACTCCTAAAATCCCAGCCCCAGGGCCGTAACGAAGGGATGGAGTCTGCGGGATGGGAGCGATCCTCCCACCTCCTTGCCACGTACGGGTCCACTTTGGTTTATAGGCAGGGCTAAGGCTTGGCCATGTGCATCTACACCCTTCTCACCCTGGATTAGCATCACACAGAGACTGGCATCATTGTTGCCTTGAAAATAAGCTTTTTGTCCACACATGTGTGCCTTGTACGACTTTAAGTGCCTGAATCGTTAGACCCAAGGAATTGGGATTTTTTTTTTTTTGTAAAGAGCTCAGGCCCTTGATATCCTGATGAAACTGCTCAGAGCAGTAGCGAATTTCGTCAACTGCCAGCTTCAGAGAAAAGCCACCCCCCCAGCTTCAGTCCTCTCCCCTTTAAACAAGCAGTGAGCTTACATAGAAATAGGTGGTGAAGGCAAGGTTCTCACTACAGATCCAATGTATTGTGGGCCAGATGTCAGGGACAGAGCTCTGCAAAAGAAAAGCAGACAGAGAGGAAAAGATTTGCAGATGTAGATATCTCAAGCCCAGCTTATAAATAAGAGTCTCTGCAAGACAGCCAAAAATCAAGTATTAATCAAATTTTGATTCAGCCAAAAATCTAGGGATTAATCAAACATATCCTTGGTACGATGAGGGTTGGAAGGAGTCAGATGGGTAAGGGAGGATGCCACATTAATAAGGAGCTGGTTTTAATTCCTTCACCTGAGGTCCCTTTTGAGCTTAAAGCCTTCAGTCTCCAAACCCCAAGCCATCCTAAAAGCCTTAGGGGGTATTTTAGGCTTCACTTGACTTGCTCTCCCCCCGTAGAGATGGGGCATGTAAACCAACCTGGTACATGGAGAGGACCACATGGCCCACAGAGGTCCAGGTTGTCCTGGTTTTGGCCAGGTGCTTCCCAGCTTGGGGAAAAAAAAACCATATTAAAAATGAGCCGTTGTCACTGGTTTACATGTTATTTCCCCCAGAAGGATGGAGGGGGATGGCAGGTGAGCCAGCAAACAGCAATGTGGGGGTCAGACAGACGCAACGTGGAAACAGCTGAGTTATAAGCCCTTGAATATTGGGGCTTTATAATGGAAATGCTGAGAGACCCTTAACTACGCTACCCGGCACTACGGGGGCTTCTACAATAACTAAGCCAACTCCCTTGAAAGATCAAAAATTAATAGACATTTCAGACAGGTTTTGAGGTTTTGACCACTGCTTTTCAATCGCAAAGACTTTGCTAAAGTTAGAGACTGAGAAGGTCAAGCTTTAGGTAACACAAACATTTCCTCTTTGATTAGGGGGAGACTACTTTACCTTGCCTTTTTTTTTATTTTTTATTTTTTTCATTGAGTAGTAGATTTTAGGTCATCCTTAATTTTTTACTGACAATAAAGAGCAGGTCATTGACCTACATAGAGAGCTATTTTATTTTTCTCCCTCTCGATAACAATGGCCAGAACACCTATGTGCTGGGTTCTTCTGTATTCCCATATACTCGGCAATTCACCATGGGGGCAGGACTTAAAACCTTTGAGCCTCTCAGTGACTGGGATAAAAAAAAATTATCTGGGCTTCCTTCCAGCCATTTGAGCTTCAGAATCCATGAGATTTCAACAAAAAGGATATAAGAGCTTTAATCTAGGAGCTTTTTGAAGAGATGGAAAAAAAAAAAGTTCCAGTAAAGTTCAGTCTTACCTTCTTCACTTTAGGAGCTGTTCATGCCAACGTCGGCCTATTTAGTAGAGTTCCTCTCCTTGACCTCTTTTTTACAGCGGAGATAATTAACATGGTGGGGTAAGATGAGTCTCTAAATTCACTGCACTCTCTCCCTGGTGCTCTCCCGTTTCCCTCTTAAAGCTGGGATGATTAAAGGAGTCTGCCTTTATTGGCACCCCGAAAAAAAATAAAATAAAAATAATTGAGGGGGAGAGGAAGATTCTCAACTCTCCCGGCGGTGCTGGGGGGAAGAGCAGGCACGGGGCGGTGGGAAGGCACATCGCGGGGATGCAGGATGCAGATCCCGCCTCCCATCACAATACCCACAGCAGAAGGGACGGCGAACGCTACCACGTTTGTAGAGTCCTCCTTCTGATCTGAGTGGGAAAAAGCTCTCTGAAGTCCCCAGGTTTCCAGTGCAACCAGGGAGAGCCTACCTGGAGAGAAATCCCCCAGGGTTTGCCTTCCCCAGCCTTCCACGGAGGGAAATGGGCTTAGACAAGCCAAGGGATGAGAAAAGAAGATGTCACCCCTGCCTCTGTGCAGCTTGGGTTTATAGCTCAGCGATGCCCCTGTGTTCACTTCTTCAAGCTTGCTCTCTACCCTGGGAGCAGAAATCAGAGTCATCTTCTGGGTCCAACCCTCCAGCACCAAGGGATGGGAGATAAATGGTGAGATGAGATCAATGCAAGAGAAGACTCAGTGTCCAAGGGGCTTCAAGCAAAAAATGATGGGGTAGGGAGCAAGCGCGGGAGCAGGCAGCTCAGGGAGACAGGACAGGATTTCCTTAGGGGATGTTAGATGAGGAAAGCTGATCATGGGAGGAATTAACAGCAAACAGGAGCGAAGCAGGAAGGGAGGTACCTAAAAAGGCAATGCTACCAAGATAGCAAGGCTCCCAAACACCAGCGAGATGGGCACTAACCTCCTGTTGGGGTTCTGACCCCATGGCACCCTCTGGTTCTTCCAGCATCGGCCCAGACACACTGCCCTTTTGGCTGTGGGAAGGAAGCGTTACTACAAATAAAAAAAGACAGCAAAGATTAAAAGCCAGCATTTAGCATCATCTAGTGCTAAACCTCATCCTCTGCTCTGTTTAGCGTTGCTAAAATACAAAACTCGGAGCATCTGGAGCCATCGTTTTGGAAACTTGTCCCCCCACTGGGGAAGACCAGCTCCTTAATGGGCCCTGAGCAAGAAATGAAGAGCCCAAAAGCAGACACAGGGCACAACCCAAAGCCTGACCCTGCTTTTTGGAGACACTGCTTCCCAAATTGGTGTGGCCATATGAGGGCTCATACAAATGAATACCCACAGCTCACGAAGCTTTGGCAAAGAGGTGGTGCTTCTGCGCTGGGATTTGGACCACGACAGCGGGACGGTCCCCACGCCGGCACATCCAGCCCTGCCGTGGTTCACTGGTGGGCTTGTGGTGCCCAAAAAGATTTTCATCTTTTAAAGAAAACCAGGCTTCCTTTCTCCTTCTTGTAGGATATTAAAAAGAGTAATCTTTGCATTCAGAGCCAGGCTTGGGGAAGGCTGGTTTTCAAGTGGGATCAATCCTTCAGTAAATCACCTACGTATCAGGAGATGGTCACCTGGATGCCATGAAAAACAACGAAGCAAAGAATGGGAAAGCCTCACTCCGGCCCCAGGGAGGGGGGAAAAAGCCAAACAGGAGATTTTTCCTTGAAAAAACTGGAGGCCTGAGCGGGTTTTTGGGACAGGAATTTTCCGCCAGCCTCGGCCTCCACAGGCTCCTGCTCCTCCTGCTGGTTATTCATCACATCCCTTTTGGAGTTAAATCCCGCTTTCCCAGCCTGGGCCTTTTCCATCCCAAATTGAGCAGCATCCCACCGAGCCACCCTGGCAGCGAGAGGGCAGGGGAGGGCAATGGGCACGTTCTGCCCGACGTGGCACTGACTTCTGCCCCAGCTATTGATGAGTGAAGGAGGAAAATAAAACCCAAATAATTTTATCCCATTTGTTTGAGCCAGGAACCCAGCGCAAGGTGAACCCGTAGTACTAACACCAGTTATCACAAATTCGTGTGATTTTGACCTAATGAGCGACTTGCCCAAGCAAGGAGACATTCAGGTGTGTTACCCATCACCCACAAATGAGTTAGGAAGGGTTCAGAAGTGAGTTAAAACTACTCAAAATTAGGCATAGCTGTGTGCGAGTGTGGCCCTTTGAGGGCTTGCTCCAGGGGTATCGCTGCTGCCAGCAAGCTGCTTGGCCAGGGATGGCACTAGGCTGGACAGAGAAGAAACCGGCTTGCTTTGCCACCCTGTGTCTGAATTTCTGCTGAACTAAACCTGTGGCTTCTTGTGACATTCCCAGAAAACTGGAGAGGCGCCCTCAAAAAGCAGCAAGTGATTCCTGAGCCTTATTCAACGGGATTTCAGTCTAATCTGACGGTGAACGACAGGCTGTTAATAAGAAAAACAAGAAGCCAGAAACGCTGGCAAAGCGTTCGAGCATATGAGTCCATGAGCAGAGATTAGAGGCTAAAATAAGATCATACAGCCAGCAAACACGAACGGCATCTAGCCAGCACCTGCTGATGCCCCATACATCCAAACAGGAGGCACGTGCTCCTCACAGGGGCCCGTGATTTCCATTAACTGCAGGAGATCACCCCTTATTTATAGCCCCTCACTAACATTCCCTCTTTGCCGAGGGAAGGGTACGCAGCAGGGAAATTCCGTATGAACCGACTCAGGTTTCTTCTAACAAGTTAGCTATTGAACTTGATAACAAAAAACCCTTCAGCAAAATAGCATCTGGGAAGGGTGACGTTTTCACCCTGGTATTTCCAGAAGAATATTTGTGATGGCTAGCAGAAGACCAAGAGGAACTGAGCTCCCTGTAAGTGAACTCCCAACCCGCTCTCAGTAAGGGAAAAACCTGTGGCAGAGCGAGGATGCTGGGCTGGAGGGGCTGGACGCAGCTCTTGGCTTTGCCAGGCAACCCATGACGTACCACCCTTCACCTGGAAATTAAGGGCGGGGGAATATTCCCTCTGTCCTGCCCACGCAGATGTAAATCCTCAGCCTGGGCTCTCTCGATACACAGCGCTTGCCGAAAGCGGCGCGGTCCTTGTGCTCAGGGTCTCTAGGCACAGCCGCCTCCCTGCCTGGGAAGGAGAAGAGACGCTGGAATTGTGATCTATAAAGAAAAAAAAGGGATTTTTCTCACGGACTAGGCTGCTGCATGTTTTGTAACCAAGTCAGAAATATTATTTTTGCCATTTTTACCATGCAGAATGGTCCCTTGGCTTGCCTTGAATATGTTATTTTAGGGTGCCAGAACTAACCGTGACATTAGGATTAAGCTAACCCGGAGAGGCCCCAGAGACTCATTATAATTAGGGCTACAAATCCCCGCTGTCAAGGACAGACCAGACCAATAAACAAGACGAAGCCACGGTGTGATTTGCTCCAGCAACAGACACCACGCCCCACCCCCACCCCCAACAAAGTTTTACCAACCAGCAACACACAGCAAGTGCCAGAAAAAAAAACCTCAGCAAGACAAACCATTGCTTGAGGAAGGGATTCAGCATGTTTTAGAGTAAAAGGGGAATTGTAAAGTAAGGATCTGAGGATTTTGGGGCTGGCACAACCCCACGCTCAATCTGCTCACCCACAACTACATCCCCAGCAGAGAGCATCCACAGCAGATGCCTCAGGCAAGGTCCAGTGCAGGCTGGCAGCATCAGAGAGCATTACACCTGCAAAGGCTGCAGACACAGCCTGTCCCCACGGATCCTGCAGGATTTTTTCCTGGCAAATTCAGGCTTGATATGCACAAGAAAAGCAGCCCAAGGAGGTATTTGCAGATCCTGCACCACCAAGGACAGTGAATGTCTCATCAGCTTCTATCAAACCTCGGGGGCAGTGATGATACAGGCCCCAAATTCATCTGGGCCAGACAAAAAGAGAAAAGAGCAATGTTCTAGTACCATCCTTCCTCCCCAGGGCTCCTCTTTCTCCCTATCCCTCCCGCCGGAAGGATAAGGCTGTGACTCTGCTCCTCCACAGCTCCCCCCCATTTTGCTTCTGTATCAGCCCAGAACCTCACTGAGGGCTCTGAGTGACACCTGAGCTGAAAGGAATGTGTAGTAGAGAAAAATAAAAGAGACAGGGGGTGTTTAAGCTTGATACATCTGCCTAGACTCCAGCCAGCCACTGCTGAGGCTTCCCGAAGGGCCGCTCCTCCTCACCCCC